TAAAGGAAAGATGCCAGGTTAGAAAACTAGGCCTATTTTAATTTTTTAAGCAGCGTGGAAGAGAGTCACAGGGTGCACCTACACAAGATGTTTACTGCAGAGCTGTCTAATTAGCTCCGCAATTAAATGTCTACATACACAGTGCTATTAGGACACAACAGACTAATTAATTCAGCCATAGTTTAGTACTCACAAACACAAGTACTATCTTACTGCATGGGTAGATGATAACATAGCTGGTTGGGGCCTGAGGATGCTTTAGTGCAGGGGCTGCCTGCTGACTAGCTCCACACTGAAGCACCCTTATGCCCCCAACAGCCCCTCCACAGCATAATGAGCTGGTCAGAGCAGCCCTGGGCTGGTAGGCTGGCCACCCAGACCTGCCAGCCAGGACTACTCTAACCCAGCTCAACATGCTGCAGTCCTAGGCACATGTTTAGATGGTGTACCTGGGAGCAATAAACTTTGGCACAATATGCATCAGAGTTTATTGCTGCACACTAACTGCATGTGTAGCACTAATTGCAACGTGCCCACATTTATGCAAGTTAGTTTACTTAGGGTGCATCTCCACATGAAGCTACATTGCTATAGCAATGTGCTATGGAAATGTAGCATCCGTGGGCGTCTACACATGTCTAGCAGCTACTTCACCTTAGCAATCCACTTCCTTGGTATAACACACCACTACAGCGAAGTACCTGCTAAAAATAACCACTTACCACACATACAGCACAGTATGGGATATTACTCACCATGATTTAGAACTTCTAAAAAGAAGTTCTAAATCATGGTGCAGTAACAATGTCACCACAGCGACATGTGTGGATGCGCCCTTAGGCACCTAATAAGTGGAATAGGATCTGAGCCCAGACCAACCAAGGTTCTTAGCCATTTTGAGCCTAAGTCCAAACTGATTCTCTAAACCCTGATTACCTGCTGTGATCCTATGTGACTAAGACTTTGCCAGTAAAGTTCTGTGCACATCCCCAGAATAATCTGTTTTGACAGATTGAGTCTGATGCCAAAGTCCTATTGGGTTCTACAAACTACACATTCCCCTGCTTATGACCTCAAGGAGCCTGAACTAATGGATAACACATTGGGAAACTTAGCCATCTAACTGAGGGCTGTAAATTCTACTCTGCGTACTCAGCAGCCTTTTGTAGTTCTAGCTGTAGGACTGCTCTTTATAAAACCATTGTGCCTTTTCACTTCCATTAGTGATAAAAGACTTGAATGCTGTAGAGGGAGGCAAGGGAACTGTCTTTAAAAAGTAGGGATCTCACTAAGGAGCTGCTTCTATATTTGATTAAATAATAATGTTTGCCTATGGACTTGGTTTCTATACAATAAAGAGATCAAAAAGATTGTCAAGTCTTTGACCACTTCATTTTTATATCTCTATCTTGAGATGAAAGTAAAAAAAAAAGATCTGTTAGTTCTTAAAAAACGAGTATATAGTGATTTTAATTTTGAAGACATGCAAAGTAATTATTTTAATGGGTTTTTAAATATTCTAACTGTATCACCTTTTTCATACAAGGCAACTCTCTTTGCACCATCAATGTGTTTAGCTCAATAATAAAACTATCAAGATTCTAACAGTAGTTCATTGCCTCATTATTAACAAGACAGCTAAACATTTTAGCTGGGGGGAGTAGGAGGGCTGGATGCAGAGGGCAAATTTACACATTGCCATGGGCACACTAGGCACACTGGGCACATTCAGAGGCCGTATGGCAATGTTGGTACTGTGCCATGCTTTAGTGCTTCCTTTTGGAAACAGTCTTACCTGTAAATCACTGGAACAGGTTACCCAGAGAGGTTGTGGAATCTCCATCCTTAGAGGTTTTTAATACCCAGGTAGACAAAGCCTTGATGATACAGGTGAGGATGGTCCTTCTTTGAGCAGGGGGTTGGATTGGATGACCTCCTAAGTCCAACCTTAGTTTTCTGTGATTCTATTATTCTGTGATTATCCCAGGGGGACAGAGCTGTATTCCTTTATGTCCTAATGAAACCATTACTGCTATTTCCTCTCTCGAAATAAACTTCACATAACAGTATTCTTCTCCAGCACAATGTAATAAATCTTTTTTTTTAAATGAATGTTATAATAGATGGGGACTTATTACATTATCCCCTGGTCAGCAAAGCTTGGACTGTAAGTACTGCAACAAGACTTCCGTTAGGTGCCCTCTTTATTCCCTTTTAAAAAGTAAGCATTGACGTACACATAATTCATTTCAGTAAATAAATTAAGGGTTCAATGCTTAAGTTACTCATTACTTATAAAAATACGAATTTATAAAGAAAAGACTTTGTAGGTCACACAGTCTTGAGTCCTGCAATATAATGCCTGGGGCAGATCTGCATTGAAGCTAGTGGAAGAATGAATAATTTTAATAACATATAAAATGTGGGTTCTATATTGTAATATCTTATAAATAAATATTCATGGAAAATCTAATCCCTTTTGCACAGTGAAATGTGAAACTTCTAAAAAAGAGAAAAAAATGAAAGTCCTCTATGGAGGTCTGAGTGAGTGCCCCATCCCTGAACCCAGTAGCACAGAGCAAACGCTATATGGTGTGAGAAGTGACCTGTCTCTTGGTGGAGTCACCAGCATCCTGATTAGGGGGAGGTTACAGCTTTCATTTAAAGAAAACAAAATGAAGCATTTCAAACCTCCAGCAGCATTATCCTTTACTGGAAATCTTGGGAAGAATTGGAAGAGATGGGAACAGACGCTTTGATTATATCTTGCAGTCACAAAGGCTGAGGAAGAGGCAGAGGATTATAAAATTGCAGTCATGCTTCACTGCACTGGGGATAAAGCCCTAGAAATTTACAACAGCAAGGGGTGTTTGCAGAACCTACTAACCTTACAGAGGTGCTTGTAGCATCCAAGAACTACTGCAAACCCAAAAAACCCCTGTCTTTGAAAGGTATCAGTTCTGGCAACTTGGATATAATGAGGCTGCAGGCATAGATGATTTTGTTACAGAGCTCAGAAGCATTGTACAGCACTGTGAATTTGGACTTGCTGAGGATGTTACGTCTTCATCATAACTGACTTCAAACTCAAAGAAAGGCTTCTGGAAAATCCCTCCCTCACCCTAGCACAGGCTGTGGATATCTGCAGAGCAAAGGCTCTCACAAGTGTTCAGGCCCGAGTTATGTCTGCAGAAGCAAGCTTGCATACAGCTGAGCAAAAGCAAAGCTGCCAGAGCACTTTGCAAAAATAAAGCAAGCCATCAGTGAAGTTTGCTCCACAGGTGGGCAATCAAACTAACAAAGGCAGAACTTGCAGAAGGTGTGGCAGCACACAAGCCTCAGTCCTGCCCAGCTTTTGGAGAAACTTGTTACAAATGCTCAGGAGTGAATCACTTTGTGAAAATGTGCATATCAAAGGGAGAGGCTCCGACATCTGCAAAAGGAGTCAGCACCCTATATTTCTGCACAATATCTGCAGGCAGCATTCACGGACCTTTGATAACCAGAATGCCTGATATAGCACAGTCATGATTGCTGACTTGCCAGTTGATTTTAAGTTAGATACTGGAGCAGAAGCAAACACTATCCCAGCAAATGTAGCAAAGGCTTTGGAAGGCAAGGTACACAAGACTCCAGCTCATGTTACATTGGTTGCATTTGGCAGTGCATGCATCAAACCACAAGGTGCAATCATTGCACGTTGCAACTCTGGTGCTAATGAATCTGATTTAACTTGCTATATAACAGACAACAGTGACCCACCAAGACTTGGTAGGGTGGCATGCACCACCTTAGACCTTATCAGATGAGTCCATGGAATGGCTCTGACAGCACTTGTAACCAAGGCAGACCTTCTCAAGCTATACCCGGACAGTTTTGAAGGTTTGTGCCAATTTCCTGGTGCCCACAACATCTATATCGTCCCAGCAGTACCACCAGTTGTGTATGGATGTAGAAAAATTCCCTATGCAAACCTAGGCAAGTTGAAGCCTACCCTCGAAATACTGGAAGCTATGGGAGTCATTATGAAGGTGACTAATCCCACACCCTAGGTCAATAGCCTTGTGATCACACAAAAGGAGAATGGTTCACTACGACTTTGTCTAGATCCAGAAGACCTCAACAAGGCAGTGCTGAGACAGCTCTTTTTGATTCCCACTGTAGAAGATGTGCAGAAGAGCTTGTCAGGTAAGGAGCTGTTCACTATTCCTGATGAAAAGGATGGCTACTGGCAAGTCAAACTGGACAATGAATCAGCAGAGCTGTGTACCTTTAACATCTGATGGGGGCGGTACCACTTCAATTGCCTTCCCTTTGGTGTTAAGTCAGCTAGCAAAGTATTCCAACAGAAGATTTATGAGTGCTTTGGTGACATTCCAGGAATCCACATAATCATGGATGACATGCTCATTACAGTGGCTACCAAAGAGGAGCATGACATTATTCTGAAACAAGTCCTAGAGAGAGCATGTTTGAAAGGAGTAAAGTTTAATAAGGACAGAATACAGTTCTAGTCAACAGCATTAAGTATATTCTCAAAAGATGGTGTCAAACCAGACAATGGCAAAGTGGAAGCTATCAACAGGATGCCCCCTCCAACAGACAAAAAGGGCCTTCAGAGACTCCTCAGAATTATTCAGTACTTGGCGCAATACATTCCACATGAGTCAAGACTGATGGCCCCATTGAGAGAGCTTCTCAGGAATAACGTTATCTGGCAATGGGGACCTGAGCATCAGGCAGCCTTGGATAAGCTCAAGAAAACCATCACAATGGCACCTCTGCTCAGATACTTCAACTCAGCAGAGCAGCTGGAAATTCAAGCCGACGTGTCCAAAGATGGCTTAGGAGCATGTCTGTTTCAGCAGAATCAACCAACTTCATATGCTTCAAGAGCTCTAACACAATCCGAGAGAAATTATGTGCAGACTGAAAAAGAACTTCTGGCAATTGTCTTTGCCATGACGAAGTTCCACCAATATGTATATAGCACTCATGTATGGGTCCAGTCGGACCACAAACCCCTGGAAGTGATTTTTGCGAAGCCCATAGGAAAGGCATGGCTATAGAGGATGCTATTGCAGATCCAAAAATAGGATATCCAGATTCACTGTACCAAAGGCAAAGACATGTTAGTGGCTGATATGCTTTCTAAAGACAGACCTCTCACTCCTCTTGAACCTGATCTTTTCAACTCAGAAAAGGTGATTCATGGTCTGATGGAAACTAAGTCACTCAGTGACCAGTTACTCCAGCAGTTACAGAAGCACACAAAGTCTGACAAGGAACTACAAGCCCTTAGAGTGCAGCATCTTACTGGATGGCCAAGCAGGCAAAAACAAGTCAAACCTGAACTAAAGCCCTAATGGCCTCTCAGAGACCAAATCCAGATTCAGGATGATTTGCTTATGATTGGCCCAAAAATAATTTTTCCTAGTCTACAAGGACCAACATGTTGACATTGCTTCACTTGCCTCATGAAGGCATACAAAGCTCAAAAGCGCAAGCTGGACAAATCATGTATTGGCTTAAAATGAATGCCTACATTGAGCAATGGATTGCGAATTGTGCACCTTGTCAAGAGCTCCAACCCAGTAATCAGAAAGAGCCCATGATCTCACATGAG